AGACAGACAGACAGACAGACAGACAGACAGACCAGCCAAGACGACCGCTAGCACAAACAATCATGATTCTGTGTTTACTGGTGATAAAATCACAGAAGTGTTTCTTTGTCAGACTATTAAGCTAACATTGGCATCAGAAAGTAATGACTCACTTCAAATAAAACTTTTTTTCTAACTGCAACTTCCACTGAATCCACATTTTTATGTGAATGTCATCAGATTGGAGCTGTCAGCCTTATCTCTAGTGGAAGTTTGCATTTTGGCTTAAAAGGGGTTAAATCTGCCTTCTTATTACCCAATAGAATAACCAAACATACCGTTCAAGTGCTTCTGAGTAATTGTCTAAATTGACTGCATGTAATAAACAAAAAAATGAGATTACTTCACTCACCAAAAACCTTCTGTACACATTGTTTCTTTGACAGAATAGGGTCAGGTGAAGTTAACAGACACACACATGTACACAGAAGGGACTTTCAAGGGTTGATTTACAACCGCTAGGTGACTCAGAGCTTCAGTGGCAGGAGGAGATTCAGGGCCTCTCCCTTTCTAGAAGGAGAGGTTAAACTTTCACTTTAGTTATTGCATGCAGTTATAGCTCATTAAAGAGAGGAAGTTTTGGCTTCAATATTTTACTTTAATAAGTGAATCAGTCGACTATATGGCTGCAGGGAAACCATGATCAAATGGAGGGTTAGGACCTGGTCAGGATCTAATTTGGCAAGAGGGGAGGCTGCTTTCTTCTTTTTGGCCAGCTTCCACCCATATGGTCCACATATACAACGCTGAACATTTTTACATTTTCTCTAATTACAGCCACCAGCTTTTTTGGGGGAGACTTGGAGCATTTTATGCAATAGATCAAACACTAAGTAGTGCATAATTTGGAATCAGAAGTACAATGATATATATTGTTTGCAACATCTTTTTCAGATTAAAAACAGTCCCCCTGAGTAGAAACAGCTTTCACAAGGTGTCTCTATTTCAGTGTGTGTCTCTTTGAGTGTTGCATGTCTACAGATTGAATTTTTTTGTCTTTGCAAAATAGCTCAAAATCAGGTTAGACGGGAAGCATTTGTGAACATAGTTTTCAAATCTTGTTCCAGATATTCATTTGGTTTTGGAACTGGATAAACCATTTAATGAGATTGAGAACCATTATAACCAGTTTCCCAGCTGAGCTGTGATTCACTGCAGTTATAATGTACCTTTAGGCTGCCTGTCTAATCGTTGCTCTACTTACAAAGCCTCAATAGATCTGAAGTTGCACAATAGTCCTCCCATTTTCAGAAGATGAACCAAAAGAGCTCTCAAACAAACCTTAGAGACCAGAAACAGAAACCAAATGTATTTTTGTAGGAGTATCAGATTAAATTCGAACTTTGTTTTTAAAATAAACATCTTTTTCTTCCTTGGACATATAAAATCCAACTTAAACACATTGAGGTTTTGGGATTCAGCCTTATAGAATGTAAAAAAAAAAATAAAAAAAAAAATCAAGGAGTCATAAAATTGTATAAAGGCACCAAATATTAGCTTAAACTATGATATGCCATTACCACTTGACCCCCAGGTCTGGGTTGTGTATGCCCAAACAATACCAGGACGAGCGCCTGACTTCCCAGAGCCGCAGTAGAACGCAAATAGCAACTTCTAGAAGCCGTCAGCCGCGACTACAGAGGAGAAGGGAAGCTGGCGGAGGAGGAAAAACAGCAGGACCGAAGAAGAGGTGGAAATGGGTGGTGGCCAGGAAGCACGACTCTTCCTGCCCTAATCACAACTCATAGAGTGTTTCCTTTCATTGTAGCAACTCAAGGCACCATTAACCAGCCAGGGCCCTGGATGCACTGATACACGAACACGGCTACAGATACGCACTTCACAGAAAAAACTTTATTCCTTTATTACCAGCACGACCGAAACAAAGTCAATATATGACATTGATCACAGAGTGGCTGGATAAAACACAACCATGCTCACCCACACACTGAGTCACAGGTACTTGTATCCTTCTTGGCAGAGAGCCGGCTCAATGTGCGGCCCTACGGCTCTGCTCTGATAAACACTTCATTATGAAATCCTGAGGACACAGTAAATATTTGCCAAGACCCTTATCATGCTGCCTTATCTTGGCGTGAACTCCAGGCACCGCATGACACTTGGGTTCTTTATTTTCTTAATGCCTTTGCTACTGACGATAACTGGTTAAGAATGGCCCCATGGAAGAAAAAAAAAGAGAAGGAAAGAAAAATACCACTTCTTTGAAAGCCTCCTGCAAATCCAGGCAAAACAACAACAAACGGAGCCTCGTAGGGAAATGTAGAACAGCTCTTTCAGCTAGTCTAGACGTGAGCAAATGTGAAGCAGAGCAAAGCAGCTCAGGTGACTGATAGCTGAAACACATTTACAGCTGCAGAGTTAATCAGTTATATGCTGATGACTGTGTCCACGCATTCATCCCTGACCTGGTTCACAGCCGTACAGCCCCACTGGTGGATCACTGACGGGTCAAACATCATTTACGGTCATATAAATCTAATTGTAGCGGTCTGAACAAACAGCTACATGTTGATTATCAGCTTTTCAGTCACTGTGCCTCTGCTTTACTGCCATTGTCCTATTTTACTCTACAAATCAAAGCTGACCTTCACTCCTGTTAAAATGTAAACCTAAGGTTTCACATTCAAAACTTAATAAAAACTTTTGTTTAAATTCTGATATCACGTGTGAAAGTATCACACAACTTTCGTCTTTTCTTTTAAAAAAAAGAAATAAATTGAGAAAACTAAACCCACCCTTGATCAAAGGTTCTTAATTAACCGATAATCATCAGATTGAACCCTTCTTTGAATGAATGAGTTTTCGGCAGATTGTTACTCTAGAGCAGACGAGAGAACAATATCAGCAATGACCATAAAGAGGCAACTGGTTGTGAACCCATTGATCTGAGGGAGGGCTACCTAAGGCTAGTGTTAAGCCATAAATCCTCCATTCTACAGATTATTCACCTTTGGAAAGCATTTCAGAGCCTTTGTAACCTTCACATAAGAAGACATCCTAGTGAATTTACTGTAGGGCACAAATCACAGGCAGCTGACAGTCATGACCAAAGTTTGCCTATAATTCAGAATTCCTCACTGGATGAAAAATGATATGCAAGGTTTCAGCTGTGAGGCATGACGGTGGCAGGTTAGTGACTTGGGCTTGTTTCAGAGATCAGATAAGACTGAGCGTAGACGTGTATGGAACCAACCCCACACTGCATATCAAAACAAATGCTTGATATTATGGGGATGACTCTGGCTTATATAGCAGCACATCTGGGTCATCAACGGGACGGTGAGTCAAAGTTCAGAATCAAGCCCACCTGAAACTTTGCAGTGCTGCTATAGGGTAGCGGTGAATGAATATGTGAAAAAAGAGGGAGCTCAAAATCTCTCCCTGCTGGACTGATGTCGATCTGAAAGGAGAAACTGGAAGTTGTAGCTGCTAAATATGATGAGCTGTTACATCATGTTTACTTAACACAGTAGTGTTATGCAGGTAAGGGTCCTGTAGTCATTGACTCAACTTATAGTGTGTGGATTGAATTATTGTGATTGGATAAGTAGTTTTTGAGGAAAATTTCATATTTCCTGATATATAAAAGAGAAGCTTTTTAAAGGGGGTGTAGATTTTACTTTGAAATAACAAATTCACAACTCCTTTGTCCAAAATTGATTTTTATTGGGAGAACTACAAAAAAATGTACAGTACAAAGTTAACAGTCTCACACTCAATTTGTAGTGAACTGACTCCCCAAAAGAAAAACATCACAACTCTCGTTGTCTTTTTGTCCGTTTTTTTGTTACATTCAAAAAGCTTTACTTCTGATAAAGTAGTCAAAAGTACATAGTGCGCATCCCCCTGTACCTACTATGTACAAACCAAAATGTGTTTGTCCACTTCCCTCTGCAGCAAACTCAAGACTAGATTTTAATATATATATAGATCTATATATATATAAAAAAAATAAAATAAAAAAGGAAGAGGAATAGGGACTTGCAGAAAGGTTAAGGTTGCTTCTGTCAGAGAGTCTGAGTGGTGACAACTGAAAAGTTGCAGAATCCAACACTACATTCAGCTCAATGTGTATATAAAAATATGCCATGTAGGAAAAATACTTTATTTGGTTAATTTTAAGGCATGTAAAAAGATGGTGAACCCCATAGGCACTACACTAATAATACTGGGGCACAAGGGATTGCTACATTCTTTAGCACGTGGCTGGAATCACAGTGTGACCTCGTGCAAAAACAGGAGAGAAAAAAAAAATAAAAATACTTTTTGGTTAATTTATTGACTTGGGTTCTTTGTCACTGACGTCTAGACTAGATCGACAAAAAGAAACAAGGTCTGGACGGTCTGTACAACCTCAGTTTATACATTCTACAGGACATCTAAAGTATGGATCCTCCTAGGGGGAAGGGGAAAAATAAAAAAAAATAAAAATAAAGACCTTCGACAGCACTGACACAGCCTCAGGAGCAAACAGCAATCACACAAACTGTTTTAATAAACGTAAACAAGGAAACAAAATTAATGAAATAAATATCACATACGTTCTCTTAAATTAAGATTTTTTTTTTTTACTCACAATAAAAATAAACAAGTGAAGTTACAAAACAAAAAAAAGGAGAAAACAATATATATATTACTGTGAAAAGAACATACACTCCACTTTATGCAGATTAATAATGGCGATCATAATTTAAACATAAAAGAATATAGATCTATTGCTTCATCATACTTGATAAATACAGTATGGACAAATTACCAATGTAGCCTATACTTTTTTCACAAGATAATAAATAAGTTAAATAGTCCATAGCGAGTTATGCACTGCTATGCAAATCACTCAAAAAAAAAAGCTAAAAAAATAGATATATATATATTCAACCATCAGCAGTGATTTCCCCAAACAAGCCCAACTCAAGAGTGCTTTTTAACCAAGCAACAAACTACTGCAGACTAACCAAACCAACCACTGGGTGGCGCTAGAAGGCGGCAGATCTGGAATGGAAGTTGAAGAATTAAAAAAAAAAAAGAAAAGAAAAGTGTTACTTTAAGTCAAGGCATATTCTTGGCAGGATGGGAGGAAATCTGAAACCGCTTAAAGTCTTTTTTTTTTTCTTGTCAAGTCTTGATACACACATCTAATCCCAGGAAAAGTGTGGCTTGCCTGATAGAGCAGTTAGAAAGGGAGAGAGAAAGAGGCTGCCAGGAGCCCCATGGGCAAGGCACTGATGGAATGCCTTCTGTTTGCTAACTAAGTTTTAATACAGCTATAATACATACAAACACTATTACACTAATGCCTGGTCAAGGATACTTAAAGTGAAGCTTAGATGATCCTCGTGGAACTAGAGATGCACCGATCAGAGGGGCCACAGCTCACAATCAGAACATTTTCCTTGTGATCAGCAGGTGAAATACTGAAAAATCACAATAAAAAAAAAAAAAACACCAGATATTTTTGATCCATACAGTTAATGCATCAAAACTAATTCTGTTTACTAAAAAAAAAAAAAGGTCAACAACTCCTGTTGTCTGCTGGATTTGAACTACTCTTTATCAAGGAACCTGCAGCACTTTTCTCCTTTTCTGTGTCCTTAATAGTGAGGAAAACCAAAATAATCGGTAGCTTAGAGCTCTGGATCGGCTGTGTGAAAGCCCAATCGGTGCATCTTTAGTGGAAACTGGTCTCTTGTTCCCCCCTCCAGGGAGGTCTGAGCAGGGGCTGCACCCCTGCAGCTGGTGGGTAATCAAAAGTCTTGCTTAAAGGCACATCAGCAGGGTGGCTGCTGCTGAAACGAGAAGCAGGAGGTGCGGGCACCTCCTCACTCAAATCAAGCCGTCCATAATCCAAGCAGAAAAACAAACATTATTTAGTCATCAGAAATCGACAGCCTGCTGAAGATTGGCAAACGCCTTCCAGCGTCTAGGATCGGGGACTCGGAGCCGCTGAGGCTCCCGGAAGAGCTGAGGGACCCGCTCGCGTAGCTCTCCCGGTCTGAGAGCGAGTCGGGCGGGCTGGGCGGAGGCTCGAACACCGGGGACTCGCTGAGGCGGCGCAGCGCCTGCAGGCTCACGCTGCCCGGCGCGTTCCCGTAGAAGGCACCGCTGGAGTGGTTGTTCGCGTAGGGGGTGTGCACGGCCAGCGGGGCCAGTAAGGCTTTCAGGTCCTGCCCGGGGAAAGAGAAGGCGCTGTTGATGCAGGGCATGGAGCTGGGCGACAGGACGTCGTCGTAAAAGCTGGAGGCGGAGGTGCAGGACGAGGCGGAGGTTGGGGGCGGCGGGGTCCGGGACGTGGGGCTGTCGAGCAGCGGGGATTCGAGTCCGTGATGGGTGGAGAAGCCCGAGAAGCTGAGGCTGTGGTGGAGCTTTGGTCTCTCTCTCTGGCTGTAGGCGAGCTGCTGCTGTGACGGCAGGCCGTCCCTCTGGCTGTAGCCGCGGGGCTCCACCGCCTGCATGTTGGCGTTGGCGGGCGGCGCGGGCCGCCGCTCGTCTGCGTTGTGGATGAAGTGGCACCGGGGACCGTAGGGGCAGAAGCCGATGGTGTGGAAGGTGCGGCACGGCTCCGTTTTGTACTTCGGGTGGCGCGTCAGGCTCCGCAGCTCGTGGTAGCCGTGAGCGAACTGACACTTTTCTCCGTATTTGCACGAGCCGTTCTCCTCAAAGGGCCGACACAGCTCGGTCTTGTAGCGGGTGGAGTTGATCTGCGAGGCGGGCTTCTGTTGCAGCACGCCCCGCTCCGCGCTCTCGCTGTAGGCGCGGTCACGGAACTTATTCTCCTTGTTCATGAGCGCCGTGCCGCCGCCGCCGCTGGGGGAGTTCTCCTTCATGCAGCTGCCGTAGGAGCCCAGCGAGTACTTGTTGCCGTTACTCATCGCCTCCAGGTTGCTGGTGGAGTTTCTGCGGAAAAATCCCGACGTGAAGGAGCCTCCGGAGCCCAGCGCGGCCACCGGAGCGCCCACCGCCTTCTTATCCAGCATGCTGTTGATGTGGAGGGCGTTCATGTTCATGCTTTTCTCCTGCTGGTGACAAGAACAGATAAGCGTCTATTTCTGCTTACATGTGTTTGGGACTCAACCTGCAACAAGTTGCATCCAAACACGTGCAGAGGCGCGCCAATAAAAAAGCAGAATAAGTTGTTTTTGTTGTTGTTTACCTTGTAAAGCATGTCCATGTCGTAGAAAGTAGACAGCACCGTCGCTGACATCTCGTCTCTTCCCCAAATCTGCTGCCGCACTCCGTCTTTCATGGAGGACCGAGCGGGATCCTGCGCTGCAACCGGGTGTTTGGGCCACGACTGGTGCTTTTTATTTAAAAGAAAGTTGTGGAAAAGTTACAAAAGTTGCCCAAAAAGTTTCTTGCAGTTTAAGTCCGAGGGGGGGAGGTGAAATAAAAGTGTAGAGATAGAGGAGGTTGGTGTGAGGAGCTGTGTCTGCAGTCTCCTCCCCTCTTGTAGAGCTGAACCAGAGTGCTTCACCGCGAGGAACTCAGCCTATAAATGCAACAAAGTGGCCGGGGAGGGGCGACTCGACTACGGGCAAACTTTTCTCCAAAAGTCGCCTCCTCCGCCCCTGCCCCACCTCCATCCTCCCTCCGGTTGGCCGCCTGTTCTGTCACCACGCCTTGAAATCCAACCCTTGACTCAGACTCCCTCCTTTGGCTGCACACACCCCAGAAAACTTCTGGAAATGAGTTTAAAAACTGACAGACGGGATTTTGGGACAGAGTTGTTCAATCCAGGTCTAGAAAGTTTAGAGATTAGCTCAGATTGTTTGCATTTCCAGCTCCAGGAGCACAGACAGGAAGAGGATGAAGGAAAACTAGGGTTTATTATTATTAACTCTAAAGCTGATACCCATCATTTTATTAGAAATAAGTGAAACTCATTTGAAAACACTGTTAATTTTACAGTAATATGCAATTTCATCAAGATATAATCTGCCTTTCCCTATTAACAAGCTTCAATGGCTGAAGTGACATCACATTTGGGTCATGTCCACAATATTATCCAGCTCATTTAAATTCTGGATTCCTAAACAATCTGAAAAGTATCTATCTATCTATCTATCTATCTATCTATCTATCTATCTATCTATCT